ATCCCAAGCATTGTCGCATATCCACACGGTCTAAAATCCCACCACCACCCAGTTCAAACTCCCACCACCACCCGGTCTGAACTCCAACCACCACCGGGTCTAAACTCTCACCACCACCGAGTCTAAACTCCCACCACCACCCGGTCTAAAGTCTCACCACCAACCGGTCCAACATCAAACCACCACCCCGTCCAAACTCCCACCACCACCTGGTCTAAACTCCCACCAACACCCAATCCAAACTCCCACCATATCCGGTCTAAGATCCCACCAACAACCGGTCTAACCTCCCATCACCACCCGGTCCAAACTCCCACCACCACCCAAGGTAAACTTCCACCACCACCCGGTCTAAACTCCCAGCACGACTCGGTCTCATCTCCTTCCACCACCCGGTCTTAATTCCCACCACCACACGGTCTAATGTCCCACCACCACCCAGTCTAAACTCCCACCACCACCTGGTCTAAACTCCCACCACCACCCGGTCTACACTCCCCCCACCATTCGGTCTACACTCCAACCACCATCCGGTCTAAACTTCCACCACCACCGGGTCCAAACTCCCAACACCACCCGGTCTAAACTCCCACCACCACCCGGTCTAAACTCCCACCACCACCCGCTCTAATTTCCCACCATCACCAATTCTAAACTCCCACCACCACCCGGTCTAAACTCCCACCACCACCCAGTCTAAACTCCCACCACCACCCGGTCTATACTCCCACCACAACCCGGTCTAAACTACCACCACCACCCGGTTGTAACTCCCACCACGATCCGGTCTAACCTCCCACTACCACCCAGTTTAAACTCCCACCATCACCGGGCCTAAACTCCCACCACAAGCCGGTCTAAGTTCCCACCACCACCCAGTCTAAACTCCCTACACCACCTGGTCTAAACTCCCACCACCAACGGGAAAAAACTCCCACCACCACCCTGTCTAAACTCGCACCAACACCTGGTTTAAACTCCTTCACAACCCGGTCTAAACTCCCACAACCAATGGGAAAGAACTCCCACCACCACCCTGTCTAAACTCCCAGCATGACTCAGTCTCAACTCCTTCCACCACCCGGACTAAAATCCCTCCACCACCCAGTCTAAACTCCCACCACCACCTGGTCTAAACACCATCACCACCTGGTCTTAACTCCAACCACCACCCGGTCTAAACTCACTCCACCAACCGGTCTAAACTCCCACCACCACCCGGTGTAAACTTCCACCACCACCCGGTCGAAACTCCCACTTCCACCCGGTCTAAACTCCCACCACCATCCGGTCTCAACACCCACCACCACCCGATCTAAACTCCCACCACCATATGGTCTAAACTCCCACCACCACCTGGTCTAAACTCCCACCACAATCCGGTCTAAGTTCCCACCACCACCCGGTCTAAACTCCAACCACCACCGGGTCTAAACTCTCACCACTACCGGTTCTAAACTCCCACCACTCCCTGGTCTATATTCAAACCACCACCGGGTCTACACTCACCACCACCTGGTCAAGACTCCCACAACCATCCGGTCTAAACTCCCACCACCACCCGGTCAAAACTCCAACCACCACCGGGTCTAAACTCCCACCACCACCCGGTCTAAAGTCTCTCCACAAACCAGTCCAAAATCAAACCATTACCCGGTCTAAACTCCCACCACCACCCAGTCTAGACTCCCACCAGCACCCAATCCAAACTCCCACCATATCCGGTCTAAAATCCCACCACGAACCGGTCTAAGCTCCCACCACCAACCGGTCTAAACTCCCACCACCACCCGGTGTAAACTTCCACCACCACCTGGTCCAAACTCCCACCAACATCCGGTCTAAACACCCAGCACGACTCGGTCTCATCTCCTACCACCACCCGGTCTTAATTCCCACCACCACCCGGTCTAATGTCCCACCATCACCCGGTCTAAAATCCCACCACCACCTGTCTATACTCCCACTACCACCCAGTCTAAACTCCCACCACCACCTTGTCTAAACTCCCACCACCACCCGGTCTACACTCCCAGCACCATCCGGTCTACACTCCTACCACCATCCAGTCTAAACTCCCACCACCACCCGGTCCAAACTCCCACCACCACCCGGTCCAAACTCCCACCACCACCCGGTCTAAACTCCCACCACAACCCGGTCTAACTTCCCACAACCACTCGGTCTAAAATCCAACCACCACCCGGTCTAAACTCCCACCACCACCCGGTCTAAACACCCACCACCACCCGGTCTAAACACCCACCACCACCCGGTCTAATTTCCCACCATCACCCATTCTAAACTCCCACCACCACCCGGTCTAAACTCCTCCCATCACCGGTCTAAACTCCCACCACCACCCGGTCTAAACTCCCACCATCACCCCGTCTAAACTCCCACCACCACCCGGTCTAAACTCCCACCACCACCCGGTCTAAACTCCCACCACCACCTGGTTGTGACTCCCACTACCACCCAGTTTAAACTCCCACCATCACCGGGTCTAAACTACCACCACCACCCGGTCTAAACTCGCACCAACACCCGGTTTAAACTCCCTCACAACCTGGTATAAACTCCCACAACCAATGGGAAAAAACTCCCACCACCACCCTGTCTAAACTCCCAGCATGACTCAGTCTCAACTCCTTCCACCACCCGGTCTAAAATCCCTCCGCCACCCGGTCTAAACTCCCACCACCACCCGGTCTAAACACCCTCACCACCTAGTCTTAACTCCAACCACCACCTGGTCTAAACTCAGTCCACCAACCGGTCTAAACTTCCACCACCACCCAGTGTAAACTTCCACCACCACTTGGTCTAAACTCCCACCACCATCCGGTCTAAACACCCACCACCACCCAGTTTAAAATCCCACCACCACCCGATCTAAACTCCCACCACCATGTGGTTTAAACTCCCACCATCACCTGGTCTAAACTCCCACCACAACCCGGTCTAAGTTCCCACCACCACCTGGTCTAAACTCCAACCACCACCGGGTCTAAAATCTCACCACCACCGGGTCTAAACTCCCACCACTATCTGGTCTATATTCAAACCACCACCGAGTCTACACTCCCACCACCACCCGGTCAAGACACCCACAACCATCCGGTCTAAACTCCCACCACCACCCGGTCAAAACTCCCACCACCACCGGGTCTAAACTCCCACCGCCACCCGGTCTAAACTCCCACCAGCACCCAATCTAAACTCCCACCATATCCGGTCTAAAATCCCACCACCAACCGGTCTAAGCTCCCACCACCACCCGGTGTAAACTCCCACCACCACCCGGTCTAAACTCCCACCAGCACCCAATCCAAACTCCCACCATATCCGGTCTAAAATCCCACCACCAACCGGTCTAAGCTCCCACCACCACCCGGTCTAAACTCCCACCACCACCCAGTCAAAACTCCCTCACCACCCAGTCTAAAATCCAACCACCACCCGGTCTAAACTCCCACCACCACCCGGTCTAAACTCTCACCACCAACCGGTCTAAACGACCACCACCACCCGGTTTAAACTCCCACCACCACCCGGTCTAAACTCCCACCAGTACCGGATCCAAACTCCCACCATCATCCGGTCTAAACTTCCACCACCACCAGGTCCAAACTCCCACCACAACCCGGTCCAAACTTCCTCACCACCCGGTCTAAAATCCAACCACCACTCGGTCTAAACTCCCTCCACCAACCGGTCTAAACTCCCACCACCACCCAGTCTAAACTCCCACCACCACCCGGTCTAAACTCCCACCAGCACCCGATCCAAACTCACACCATCATCCGGTCTAAACATCCACCACCAACCGCTCTAAAATCCCATCACCATCCGGTCGAAACTCCCACCACAACCCGGTCCAAACTCCCTCACCACCCGGTCTAAAATCCAACCACCACCCTGTCTAAACTCCCTCCACCAACCGGTCTAAACTCCCTCCACCAAACCGGTCTAAACTCGCACCACAACCCGGTCTAAACTCCCACCAGCACCCGATCCAAACCCCCACCATCATCTGGTCTTAACTCCCACCACCAACCGGTCTAAACTCCCACCATCACCCGGTCTAAACTCCCACCACCAACATGTCTAAACTCCCCCCACCATCCGGTCTATACTCCCACCACCAACCGGTCTAAACGACCACCACAACCCATTCTAAACTTGCACCACCACCGGGTTGAAACTCTTACCAGCACCCGATCCAAACTCCCACCATCATCCGGTTTAAACTCCCACCACCAATCGGTCTAAACTCCCACCACCACGTGGTCTAAACTCCCACCACCAACAGGATTAAATTCCCACCACCACCCGGTCTAAACACCAAACACCACATGGTCTAAACTCCCAGCACGTCTCAGTCTCAACTCCTACCACCACCCGATCTAGATTCCCACCACCACATGGTCTAAAATCCCACCAACGCATGGTCTAAACTCCCACCACCATCCGTTAGTACTCCCACCACGAGCCAGTCTACACTCCCACAACCATCGAGTCTGAACTCCCACCACCACCTGGTCTAAACTCCCACCACTACCTGGTCTAAACTCCCACCACCACTGTCACAGGATCGAATGTGTCGAGGTTTTAGGGTTTAGGGTTTAGATTGCACTATCCTAAACCTTAAATCCCACCCTTAACCCTAAACCCTTGCACTATCGATTGATACAAGGTGCTTTTATACTTCCAGAGTACATCAGGTAACCACGTTTATCCTATCCAAGGGAATAGACCCTTCTAGAAAATAGAATCACCCTGCGTATAGCCACGCGAGGTTATTGGCTTTAAGGGATTCCGGCAGGATTACGCTAGATATTGAGCACCGCTATATCCCGAGCCTGGTCAGTGATACTACAACAGCAGAATAAACCAAAGGATAATGGAAAATGGAGAATTGGAAACCAAATGAGATGGGATAAAAAGAGAAATGAAATAGAAAGGAAATAAGGAAAGGCCAGTGGTGTAACGGGGTCGTACTCTCACACTTCCCCCCCTCAAAGCTGGGTGGTAGAAGTAACACCCTGCTTGACAAGGTAGTCATGAAGAGGACGATGGGCGTTACCCATGTCGGTCTCAGGTACCCAGCTGTCCTCAGAAGGATCATAAGCCTTCCAACGAATAAGAAGCTCCACGGTGCCATTCCGACCACGGCGGTGTGCAAGCACGGACTCGACCTCATACTCGTGTTCATTCAGGACGAGGACGGGCGGCGGCGGCGGCGGTTGGCGTCCGACGAAGATCGCGTTCGGATCCCGATAGGGCTTCAGAAGTTGGACATTGAAGGCGTTGTGAATCTTCCAGGTACCTGGCAGGCGTAAGCAGAAGGTAACAGGAGTGATCTGTGCTTCAACGAGGAAAGGCCCGCAGAAGCGAGGTCGAAGTTTAGATGGGAGATGGCTAATGTCCAGGTTGCGGGTGTCGAGAAGCACCTGCTCCCCCACGGTGATGGTGTGGTCGTTGCGATGGCGATCGACCTGGCGCTTCTGTTGCTGTTGAATGTCGAGGAGGCGCTTGTGGGTCCAATCCCAAAGCTGATGCATGGTTGTGATGAAATTGTGTGCAGGTTGGACTGTAGCTGAGGCTGTCGGTTTTTGTAGTGTGAGTGGGTGGCATCCATAGCAGAGGAAGAATGGCATCTGTCCTGTATCGACGTGTGTAGCGTTATTGTAAGCAAACTCCAGTACGGGTAGGTGCAAGTCCCATTTAGAGATCTCGTCCTTGCAGGCTGCTCGGAGGAGTTGCTCGACAACCTGGTTGAGGCGCTCGGTCTGTCCGTCTGTCTGCGGATGGTAAGCGGAGGACATGGCGAGTTTGGTCCTGAGCAGAGACATTAGTTCCTTCCAAAACTTGCTGGTGAACTTGGGGTCTCGGTCGGAGATGAGTGTGGTTGGAATGCCATGTTGTGAGATGATGTAACGAATGAAGAGTTGTGCTGTTTCTTCGGTACGCGCTGTCGTGTGTATCGGGATGAAGTGTCCCATTTTGGAGAACTTGTCGATGACGACAAGGATTGCGTCATGACCGGTAGTGGTAGGTGGTAACCCGGTGATGAAATCCAGGCTGACCACTTGCCATGGTTGTTCTGGGACAGGAAGAGGCAGTAGAAGTCCCGCCTTCTTCTGCTTGCTGCTCTTCATTCGTTGACATGTATCATATGAGGTGACGAATTTCTGAACATCTTCTGCCAAGTAGGGCCAGTAGTAGTGCTTTGCGATACCGGTCAGCATCTTGTTGCTACCGAAGTGTCTTGCGTATAGGACATCGTGGTATTCTTCAAGTAGTAACTAGCGCAAAGGAGGGTAATTGGGTACCCAGATTTTCGTTGATCCTTTCCGGTACGCGATGTCACTCTCCCACTGTAGCAGATGTCGCTTTTCTACCAAGGGAATTTCGGGGTCGATGGTGTACTTGTGTGTGAAGAGTCCCTTGAGTAATGGATTCATCCCTTGTGTCGAAAAGCGCACCGGTCGAAATGAAGGGATTCATCCCTTGTGTCAAAAAGCGCACCGGTCGAAATGAAGGGATTCATCCCTTGTGTCTAAACTCCCACCACCACCTGGTCTAAAACCGGTGCGCTTTTCGACGAGTGCGCTTTTCGACCCGTGCGCGTTTCAACCGGTGCGCTTTAAGACCAGTGCGCTTCTCGACCCGTGCCCTTCTCGACCGGTGCGCCTTTCGACCGGTGCTCTTTTCGACCGGTGCCCTTTTCGACCGGTGCAATTTTCGACCGGTGCCCTTTTCGACCGGTGCCCTTTTCGACCGGTGCCCTTTTCGACCGGTGCCCTTTTCGACCGGTGCGCTTTTCGACCGGTGCACATTTCGACCGGTGCGCTTTTCGACCGGTGCGCTTTTCGACCGGTGCGCTTTTCGACCGGTGCGCTTTTTGACCGGTGCGCTTTTCGACCGGTGCGCTTTTCGACCGGTGCGCTTTTCGACCGGTGCCCTTTTCGACCGGTGCCCTTTTTCGACCGGTGCCCTTTTCGACCGGTGCGCTTTTCGACCGGTGCGCTTTTGGACCGGTGCGCTTTTGGACCGGCGCGCTTTTCGACCGGTGCGCTTTTCGACCGGTGCGCTTTTCGACCGGTGCGCTTTTCGACCGGTGCGCTTTTCGACCGGTGCGCTTTTCGACCGGTGCGCTTTTCGACCGGTGCCCTTTTGGACCGGTGCCCTTTTTGACCGGTGCCCTTTTCGACCGGTGCCCTTTTCGACCGGTGCCCTTTTCGACCGGTGCCCTTTTCGACCGGTGCCCTTTTCGACCGGTGCCCTTATCGACCGGTGCGCTTTTCGACCGGTGCGCTTTTCGACCGGTGCACAATATTGGGTAGGATGGATTCAGCAATATTGGGAGAATTTAGCAAGGTAGGGGGGATTCAGCAAGATAGGGGGAATTCATCAAGGCAGGAATGATTAAGCAACTTAGAGGTGATAAATCAAGGTAGGGGTGATTAAACAAGGTAGGAGTGTTTAAACAAGGTAAAGAGAAGTCAGCAAGGTAGTGGGAATTCAGCAAGGTATGGATGATTATGCAAGGTAGGTGTGATTTAGCAAGCTAGGGGTGATTCAGCAACGTAGGGTGACTTCAGCAAGATAGGGGGAAATTCAACAATTTTGGGGTGATTAGGTAACGAAGGGGTGATTAATAAGGGTAGGGGTGATTAAGCAAGGCAGAGGTGATTCAGCAAAGTAGAGGTGATTCAACAAGGTAGGGGTGCTTAAGCAAGGTAGAGGTGATTAAATAATGTAGTGAGTACTCTGCAAGGTAGGGGTGATTAAACAAGGTAGGTAGGAATTCAGCAAGATAGGGAGAATTCAGCAAGGTAGTGGGGACTCGGCAAGATATGGGGAATTAAGCAATTTAGGGGATATCAAGCAATTTAGGGGTGATTCAGCAAGGAATAGGGGACTCAGCAATGTAGGGGTTATTAACCAAGATCGGGGGAATTCAGGAAGGTAGGGGTGATTGATCATGGTAGTGGGGACTCAGCAAGATAGGAGAATTCAGCAAGCTAGGGGGGATTCAGCAAGATAGGGGGAATTCAATGAGGTAGGGATGATTAAGCCATGTAAGGGTGATAAGTCAATGCTGAGGTGGTTAATCAAGGTAGGAGTGTTTTAACAAGGTAAGGGGAATTCAGCAAGGAAGTATAAATTCAGCATGGTAAGGGTGATTAAGCAAGGAAGGGGGGGCTCAGCAAGGTAGGCGAGATTTCGCAAGGTAGGGGGGATTAAGCAATGTATCAGTGATTCACGAGGTAGGGGTGATTGATCAAGGTAGGGGTGATTAAGCAAGGAAGAGGGAATTCAGCAAAGGAGGGGTGATTAAGCAAGGAAGGGGGGATTCAGCAAGTTAGCGAGAATTCAACAAGGTAGGGGGGATTCAGCAAGACAGGGGGAATTAAACAAGGTAGGGATGATTAAGCATCGAAGGGATGATTAATCAAGGTAGGGGTGACTAAGCAAGGTAGAGGGTTCAGTTAAAGGTAGGGAATTCAGAAAAAGGGTGGGAATTCAGCAAGATAGGGAGTAAGTAGAGGTGATTGTGCAAGGAAGGTGGGATTCAGCAAGGTAGGGGGAATTAAGCAAGAGAAGGGGGATTAAGCAAGGTATGGGTGATGAAGCAAGGTAGGGGTGATTAAGCAAGGCAGGGGTGATTAAGCAAGGCAAGGGTGATTAAACAAGGTAGGGGTGATTCAGCAAGGAAGAGGTGATTAAGCAAGAAAGGGGTGATTAAGAAAGAAAGGGATGACTCAGCAAGTTAGGGAGATTACAGCAAGGTAGGGGTGATTAAGCAAGGTAGGGGCGATTCAGCAAGAGAGGGAGAATTCAGCAAGCTAGAAGGGATTCAGCAAGGTAGGGTTGATTCAACAAGGAAGGGGGGATTCAATAATGGTAGGGTTTATTAAGCGAGGAACGGGTGATATGTAAGGGAAGGGGTGATTGTGCAAGGTACGTGTGATTAAGCAAGGAAGGGGGGATTCAGCAAGGTAGTGGTGATTAAGCATGGTAGGGGTGATTCAGCAAGATATAGGGAATTCTCTCATTTTCAGGTAATTAATCAATGTAGGGATGATAAGTCAAGGTAGGGGTCATCAGGCAAGGTAGGGGAAATTCAGCAAGGTAGTCGGAAAAAGCAAGGTAGGGGTGCTTAAGCAAGGTAGGATTGATTAAGCAACATAGAGGGAATTCAGCAAGGCAGGGATGATTTAAAAAGGTAGGGGTGATTTAGAATGGGAGGGGGGATTCAGCAAGATAAAGAGAACTCAGCAAGATAGGGGAGATTCAACGAGAAAGGGGGAATAGAGCAATTTTGGGATGACTAAGCAAGGTAGGGATGATTCAGCAAGGAAGGGGGGGTTCAACAAGGTAGGCGGGATTGAGCAATTTAGGAGGGATTCAGCAATGTAGCCGTGACTAAGCAAGTGATTAATCTTGGTAGGGGTGATTAAGCAAGGAAGAGGGAATTCAGCAAGGGGGTGGGAATTCAGCACGGTAGTGGTGATTAATCAAGGTGGGGGGGATTCAGCAAGGTAGGGGGGATTCAGCAAGGTAGGATTGATTCAACAAGGAAGGGGGGATTCAGCAAGGTAGGGTTGATTAAGCAAGGAGGGGGGGATTTTGCAAGGCAGGGGTTCTTAAGCACGGTAGGGGGGATTCAGCAATATTGGGAGAATTTAGCAAGGTAGAGGGGATTCAGCAAGATAGGGGGAATTCAGCAAGGCAGGGATGATTAAGCAACTTAGAGGTGATAAATCAAGGTAGGGGTGATTAAACAAGGTAGGAGTGTTAAAACAAGGTAAAGGGAATTCAGCAAGGTAGTAGGAATTCAGCAAGGTAGGGGTGATTAAGCAAGGTAGGTGTGATTAAGCAAGCTAGGGGCGATTCAGCAACGTAGGGTGACTTCAGCAAGATAGGGGGAACTCAACCATTTTGGGGTGATTTGGCAACGAAGGGGTGATTAATAAGGGTAGGGGTGATTAAGCAAGGCAGTGGTGATTCAGCAAAGTAGAGGTGATTCAACAAGGTAGGGGTGCTTAAGCAAGGTAGAGGTGATTAAACAATGTAGTGAGTACTCTGCAAGGTAGGGGTGATTAAACAAGGTAGGGGGAAAATCAGCAAGATAGGGAGAATTCAGCAAGGTAGAGGGGATTCGGCAAGATATGGGGAAGTAAGCAATTTAGGGGATATCAAGTAAGTTAGGGGTGATTCAGCAAGGAAGGGGGGATTCAGCAATGTAGGGGTTACTAACCAATATCAGGGGAATTGAGCAAGGTAGGGGTGATAGAGCAAGGTAGTGGGGACTCAGCAAGATAGGAGAATTCAGCAAGCTAGGGAGGATTCAGCAAGATAGGGTGAATTCAACGAGGTAAGGATGATTAAGCCATGTAGGGGTGATAAGTCAAGGCTGGGGTGATTAATCAAGGTAGGAGTGTTTTAACAAGGTAAGGGGAATTCAGCAAGGAAGTATAAATTCAGCATGGTAGGGGTGATTAAGCAAGGAAGGGGGGGCTCAGCAAGGTAGGCGAGAATTCGCAAGGTAGGGGGGATAAAGCAATGTATCAGTGATTCAGCAAGGAAGGGGTGATTGATCAAGGTAGGGGTGATTAAGCAAGGAAGCGGGAATTCAGCAAAGTAGGGATGATTATGCAAGGAAGGGGGGATTCAGCAAGTTAGCGAGAATTCAACAAGGTAGGGGGGATTCAGCAAGATAGGGGGAATTAAACAAGGTAGGGATGATTAAGCATCGTAGGGATGATTAATCAAGGTACGGGTGACAAAACAAGGTAGAGGGAATTCAGCTAAAGGTAGGGAGTTTAGCAAAAGGGTGGGAATTCAGCAAGATAGGGAGTAGGTAGGAGTGATTGTGCAAGGAAGGTGGGATTCAGCAAGGTAGTGGGAATTCAGCAAGGGAGGGGGGACTAAGCGAGGTATGGATGATGAAGAAAGGTAGGGGTGATGAAGCAAGGCAGGGGTGATTAAGCAAGGCATGGGTGATTAAACAAGGAAGGGGAGATTAAGCAAGGTAGGGGTGAGTAAGCAAGGAAGGGGTGATTACGAAAGAAAGGGATGACTCAGAAAGTTAGGAGAGGGAATTCAGCAAGGCAGGGATGACTTAAAAAGGCACGGGTGATTTAGAATGGGAGGGGGGATTCAGCAAGATAAAGAGAACTCAGCAAGATAGGGGAGATTCAACGAGAAAGGGGTAATAGAGCAATTTAGGGGTGATTAAGCAAGGTGGGGATGATTCAGCAAGGAAGAGGGAATTCAGCAAAGGGGTGGGAATTCAACAAGGTAGTGGTGATTAATCAAGGTCGGGGGGATTCAGAAAGGTAGGGGGGATTCAGCAAGGTAGGGTTGATTCAACAAGGAAGGGGGGCTTTAGCAAGGTTGGGTTGATTAAGCAACGTAGGGGTGATTAGTCAAGACGGGGGTGATAAAGCAAGGAAGGAGTGATTGAACAAGGTAAGGGGAATTCAGCAAGGTAGTGGGAATTTAGCAAGATAGAGGGAATTCAGCAAGGAAGGGGGGATTTAGCAAGGTAGGGGTTCTTAAGCACGGTAGGGAGGATTCAGAAATATTGGGAGAATTTAGCAAGGTAGGGGGGATTCAGCAAGATAGGGGGAATTCAGCAAGTCAGGGATAATTAAGCAACTTAGAGGTGATAAATCAAGGTAAGGGTGATTAAGCAAGATAGGAGTCTTTAAACAAGTTAAAGGGAATTCAGCAAGGTTGTGGAAATTCAGCAAGGTAGGGGTGATTAGGGAAGGTAAAGGGGATTCAGCAAGTTAGTGAGAATTTAACACGGTAGGGGGGATTCAGCAAGATAGGGGGAATTATACAAGGTAGGGATGATTAAGCATCGTAGGGATGATTAATCAAGGGAGGGGTTACTAGGCAAGGTAGAGGGAATCCAGCTGAAGGTAGGGAGTCAGCAAAAGGGTGGGAATTCAGCAAGATAGGGAGTAAGTAGGGGTGATTGTGCAAGGAAGGTGGGATTCAGCAAGGTAGGGGGAATTCAGCAAGGGAGGGGGGATTATCAAGGTATGGGTGATGAAGCAAGGTAGGGGTGATTTAGCAAGGCAGGGGTGATTAAGCAGGGCACGGATGATTAAACAAGGTAGGGGTGATTAAGCAAGGTAGGGTTGATCAGTGAGAATTTAGCAACGTAGGGATGATTAATGAAGGTAGGGGTGACTCCGAAAGGGAGTGGGGTTTCAGCAAGATTGGGAGAATTCAGCAAGGAAGAGGGGATTCAGAAAGATTGTGAGAATTCAGCAAGGTAGGGGTGATTCGACAAGGAAGGGGAGATTCAGCAAGGTAGGGGTGATTAAGCAAGGTAGGGGTGATTAGGTAAGGTAGGGGGAATTCAGCAAGGTAGCAGGAATTCAGCAAGGTAGGGTTGATTAAGCAAGGTGGGGCAATTCATCAAGGAAAGGGGGGTTCCAGCAAGGTAGGCGGGATTCAGCAAGGTAGGGGTGATAAATCAAGGTAGGGGTGATTAAGAAAGGCAGAGGCAATTCAGCAAGATGGTGGAAATTCAGCAAGGGTTTATGAGTGATAAAGCAAGGTAGGGGTGATCAAGAAAGGTAGGGGTGATTCAGCAAGATAGAGAGAATTCAACAAGGAAGAGGGGATTCATCAAGGTAGGGGTGATTCGACAAGGAAGGGGGGATTCAGCAATGTAGGGGTGATTGAAGCAATGTAGGGGTGATTAATCAAGACGGGAATGAAAAAGCAAGGAAGGAGTGATTGAACAAGGTAAGGGGAATTCAGCAAGGTAGTGGGAACTTAGCAAGATAGAGGGAATTCAGCAAGGAAGGGGGAATTTAGCAAGGTAGGGGTTCTCACGCACGGTAGGGGGCATTCAGTAATATTGGGAGAATTTAGCAAGATAGGGATTCGGCAAGATAACGGAAAGTCAGCAAGGCAGGGATGATTAAGCAACTTTGAGGTGATGGATCAAGGTAGGGGTGATTAAGTAAGGTATGAGTGTGCGATCAAGGTTGTGGGAATTCAGCAAGGCAAGGGTGATTAAGCAAGGTAGGTGTGATTAAACAAGCTAGGGGTGATTCAGCAACATAGGGTGACTTCAGCAAGATAGGAGGAATTCAACAATTTAAGGGTGATTAGGCAAGGAAGGTGTGATTACTAAGGGTAGGGGTGATTACGCAAGGCAGATGTGATTGAGCAAAATAGAGGTGATTCAAGAAGGTAGGGGTTCTGAAGCAAGGTAGAGGTGATTAAACAATGTAGTGAGCACTCTGCAAGGTAGGGGTGATTAAACAAGGTAGGAGTGTTTTAACAAGGTAGGGGGAATTCAGCAAGGAAGTATATATTCAGCATGGTAGGGGTGATTAAGCAAGGATGGGGGGGCTCAGCAAGTAAGGTGAAATTCAGCAATGAAGGGGGGATCAAGCAATGTATCAGTGATTCAGCAAGGTAGGGGTGATTGATCAAGGTAGGGGTGATTAAGCAAGGAAGAGGGAATTCAGCAAGGTAGGGGGATTTCAGCGAGGGAGGGGGGATTAATCAAGGTATGGGTGATGAAGCAAGGTAGGGGTGATTAAGCAAGGCAGGGTTGATTAAGCAAGGCAAGGGTGGTTAAGCAAGGTAGGGGTGATTAAGCATGGTAGAGGTGATTAAGCAAGGAAGGGGTGATTATGAAAGAAAGGGATGACTCAGCAAGATAGGGAGAATTCAGCAAGGTAGGGGTGATTAAGCAAGCTAGGGGGCATTCAGCAAGGTTGGGTTGATTCAACAAGGAAGGGGGGATTAAAAAAGGTAGGGTTTATTAAGCAAGGAAGGGGTGATATGTAAGGGAAGGGGTGATTGTGCAAGGTGGGTGTGATTAAGCAAGGAAGGGGGAATTCAGCAAGATAGGGGTGATTCAGCAAGACATAGGGAATTCTCTAATTTTCAGGTAATTACCCAATGTAGGGGTGATTAGTCGAGGTAGGGGTCATCAGGCAAGGTTGGATTGATTGAACAAGGTAGGGGGAATTCAGGAAGGTAGTCGGAAAAATCAAGGTAGGGGTGATTAAGCAAGGTAGGATTGATAAAGCAGCATAGAGGGAATTCAACAAGGCAGGGATGATTTTAAAAGGTAGGGGTGATTTAGAATGGGAGGGGGGTTCAGCAAGATAAAAAGAACTCAGCAAGATAGGGGAGATTCAACGAGATAGGGGGAATAGAGCGATTTAGGAATGATTAAGCAAGGTAGGGATGATCCAGCAAGGAAGGGGGGGTTCAACAAGGTAGGCAAGATTGAGCAAGTTAGGATGGATTCAGCAATGTAGCCATGACTTAGCAAGTGATTAATCTTGGTAGGGGTGATAAAGCAAGGAAGAAGGAATTCAGCAAGGGGGTGGGAATTCAGCAAGGTAGTGGTGATTAATCAAGGTGGGGGGGATTCAGCAAGGTAGTGGTGATTAATCAAGGTGGGGGGGATTCAGCAAGGTATGGGGGATTCAGCAAGGTAGGATTGATTCAACAAGGAAGGGGGGATTCAGCAAGGTAGGGTTGATTAAGCAAGGAAGGGGTGATTAATAAAGGTAGGGACGATTGAGCAAGGTAGGGGTGATTAACCAAGGAAGGGGGAATTCCGCAAGGGAGGGTTGATCAGTGGAAATTTAGCAAGGTAGGGATGACTTAAAAAGGTAGGGATGATTTAGAATGGGTGGGGGGATTCAGCAAGATAAAGAGAACTCAGCAAGATAGGGGAGATTCAACGAGAAAGGGGTAATAGAGCAATTTAGGGGTGATTAAGCAAGGTGGGGATGATTCAGCAAGGAAGGGGGGGTTCAACAAGGTAGGCGGGATTCAGCAAGTTAGGAGGGATTCAGCAATGTAGCCGTGACTCAGCAAGTGATTAATCAAGGTAGGGTTGATTATGCAAGGAAGAGGGAATTCAGCAAGGGGGTGGGAATTCAACAAG